AATTAAAAACTATCTTAATTGATATAATTTATTTATAATAATTAATAAATTTATCTTAATATTATTCACATAAAAAAGTATTCTTATAGTAGTTAATCAATTAACAATAAAAATTATTTATATTTAATTAGAACTTGAAAAAATTAGTAAATACCAATATTTATTAAAGCATTTACAAATTATTAGTATATTATATATGATAAAATATCTTTTTGAATTTTATTTTTAATATCAACTATTTTATATTAATTTATAGTTCTAATTCTAATTTATAACTTTACTAAAAGCTCATTGAATATTTACTTGAACTTGAATTGAACTTTTGATTAGATTCGAGTTTGGTTTGAAGTTTAAACTGAATTCAAATCTAATTTTTAATTGAATTTGAATTTTTGAACCAAACTTTTAATTAAATTCGAGTCTAATTCAAGCTTGAATTGAATTAGATTTTTTTTAGAATTCTAATAATAATATATTATTTTTATTTAATTATATATCAAATTTTATTTTTAGATTCAATATTCAATTGGTAAATCTAGTGATAAATATAAAATCATATGTTTATATTTTGGTGTTGAAATAAAATAGAAGATATAAATCTGTCAAGATTTAAAGCTTTGTAAATTTGTTATATATTAATTACAAAATAAATTATATCAAAATGTTGATATTAATTTTGATCTTATGATATGAATTATACAAGATATTTTATTTAGTAATATAAATAATAATATCTTTGAGTAAATAATAAAATTTATATTAATATTATAATAATTAAATTAGATTTTTTATAATATACTTTATCTTGTTCTCAAGAAACATTTTGTAAATTCCAAAAAATGAAAAAATATGTAAAGGCAAATTTATCTTATATTATTTAACATGTCAAGATCATTCAAAAACTTATTTTATTAGATGTGCAAATTGAAAGATTACAGAAAATATCATCAATTTATGCATATTTCTTTTAATATTAATATTGAAGTTTTGTGAAACTTATTTGATAATACTTATAAAGTAATTATATTATTGTTTACTTATATATTTAACAATTTAATTAATATATAATTCAATTATTTATAGTCTAATAATCATATTGATAATCAATTTACAAATGAATATTATACTGTATTATCTAATTCTTCAAAGAAAAAATATTGTGATAGGTAAAGATAACTAAATCATGAATTTTTTAAATTAGTTTTAAATATTTAAATATTTAGCTTATTCTCATCAATCAGAAAACAAAATATGTCATGATCATATCAATAAAAAATTCTGTAATATTCAATTTTATAAAATTACTTCATTGAATTTCAAAACATGTCCATTCATAATTCTTGTATGTAAAGGAATATATATATATTCACCATCACCATCTACACGAACTTTTAATTATATTAGATAAAGACTTCAAATGCTTGTTAAATAAACAAATGAAGATTTATTAGATGTTACTCCCACTTGTATTATAATGAATAAAATTGAATTCTAAACTTGTTTAATATTATATATTAATAATATTATATAATCTAATTAAGTTTATTTTAAAATTAGATAATTAAATTAAGATTTATTTTGGAGTTAATAGACGGGTATTGAAAGGAATATCAGATGACACTTCGTGGGGAACACAGTTCTCTAATCCGTGTATAGTATTGTTCCGCGACTGCTTGAATTCCTGTTCCAATTTCGCAACTCTGGTCTTGAGCTCAGAATTCTCGGCTACGCGGTTGGTGGTATCCGTTCTATTTTTTTCTAGCTTCTCGATTCTGGTCTTGAGCTCAGTATTCTCTTCCATAGTCAGACTTAGCTTCATATTCTCAGCCTTAATCTCGGCGTTCTCAGCTTTAAGCTCGTTAATTTGTTGTTTCAATAAATCAAGTTCAGATTGTATGATTGATAATAATTTTTATACAAGATACAGGTTTATTTAAATTTTCTATTAATTATCACGAGAACACGTAGTTAAAAAATCACGTACGTGTGAACAATTGTTAGAAAAAATAATGACAGATATATACGAAATCATATTGATATATGAATTTATAGCATCGTTGAATGTTTATATCTATAGCCCATCAAAATCAGAGCAATATTGGTGGAGAAAAATCGTAAGGCATCTTTGAGCAATGATATCTTGCGAATTTTGCGAACTCAGGTTCGCTTCGATTCGCCTAATCAAGACGAATATTTTGATATCCGGATCGTTGAAATTGGACGCATATTATCGACGGGAAATTTATAGTCGTTATGGGAATACACACAAGACGAAGGAGATATGAGACATAGTCTCGAAGCTTTGCTTCCTCGATTACGAAAAGGTATATGGATACTTAGAAGTGAATAATATATATCGGATGTAATTCGTGTGTAGCATTATTTATTCTCGATATGTAAAAGACAATGTCCAAAGTGAGAGAACTTTATTTTTCAATGAAATCACTTCAACCATTACAAAAAAATAATACAAAAAATAAAATCCACAGAGTTGCATAAGAGGACGTGTTCTAAAAATCAAACAGTCTGAAAAATCAGGACACTAACAGTCAGACGCAAAGCCTGTCTCGAAAGACAATGACTACCCCTATTCTTTGGCTTCTCTAGATTGTTTACTATACAGTGGCCGTCAGATGTTTTACATCACACAAAAAATAAAATTGTAAATTCAATAACATTACATACAAACACAAATTCCGACGCATATTGTTTACCAAATGTTGCAAAACATGTACATGTAAATATAATTCTTTATTTAGTTACGTAATACGTAATCACTAAATTGAAATAATAATGATCGATGCAATTTTACATGATGCGTTTTTTTTTGACTGTTTACGATGCAAATAATTTAAAACCGATATTTAAATAACTAACGACTAAAAATTTACGAAATTCAAATAAACTATTCTTTACCACTCTGTATGCCCTTCTTTAACCTCAATTACATCATTTATTCGTTCGGGCATACTTTCAATTAGACTAGTTAAAAAGTTATGATCTGTTTCTATCCATATTTTTTTGAATAGCTTCCCATAACTCATCTTGAGTACGAACTGGATTTTCTAGCCTTCTCAAACGTATATCCATCTCATTCTAGAGATGTTCTATAGGGTTGAGGTCAGGAGATTGTGGTGGCTATTCTAATACCTCAATATCATTATCGTAAAACCATTGCTCCGTTAACTTAGTCATGTGCTTCAGATTGTTATTCTTATCCAGCTCGTGATGCTCTAACAAGTCATCATTCAAAATTTTTAGTATAATTCCTTATTCATGGTGCCAAAAATGCGACCCCAGATCATAATATTTCCGCCACTAAATTTGACCGTAGGTTTTACATGATCATCTAGTGGTTCATTTTTGCGTTTCCAACAATATTCACGACCGTCTGACCCATATATCATAAACTTAGACTCATCTGACCAAATCACCCTGTTCCAATCATCCACCGTCCAATCCTTGTATTTCTTAGCAAATTTTAAACGCAATTTTCGATGTGTTTTTTTCAAATATAGTTTTTTTCATTTAATTCTTATAGTACTACATTGATGAACGTAATATTATACGATGTATTTTTGAGTGGTGAATGTTCTAATGCTGTATCGATTCAAAAAAAATTACAAACTAATAATAAAATCATGGCCTGTAAAAAATCGTGGGAGGCCAGATTTTGGTAAATCTTTTACAGAACCAGTAGTTTCTATTTTTTTTTTAAGTCGGATAACAGAAGATTGTGCAATATTTTCTTTGATGCGATATAACGGGAAGAGAATCCTTGAAGAAGGGCAGAAATTCGTGATCTTTGTTCGATAGTGATATTGATGTAGCGATATGTTTATTAAAATAAAATGAATAAAAAATTTGAAAATATACATGATTTCATTCTAGAAATTTTAAAATCCATAATTTTTAGTTTGTGAAGTATAAAATAATCAAAAGTCTGGGTTGAGGATGTTTGGCAGAATTATACACTAAACGAATTATTTGATTTGTTTATGTTTACCAAGCATTTTGTAAGTAATTCTTAAACTACCATGAGGAATATATTATTTCAAATTTGCAGAACACCAACAAATAAAAAACGAAATGGATGACTGACCCGAATTGAGCCAGAAATATATTTAAAATTAATTGAGAGCTTACCCTGTAAAAATCGAATTCATGCGCATTTCATAATATATTAACCTCTATTTTCGAAGTTTCTCGCGAAATTGCGTGTTATGCAATTTAGGTCCCATCTATCATACTGTATATAACACGCAATCATTTAACGCATAATGATTAATACGTTATTTTATAAAGCATATAAATTTTCAGATTAAATATAGCATCTTTTTTTTGTCTTAATTACATCAAAACTTTACGTATATTGTTATTGTAAAAATGAGTAAAAATTTTGAACGTACGATGCAAGTTGTTAATGGATACAGGAAGCTTGCTGAAGAACATAACTGGAAGAATTCAGATCAATCCATATTTCCGATTTCCAATGAAAATATAAAGAAATTTATGGAGTACAAAGAAAAAACTTGCAGTGAAACGAGCGTTAAGTGGTATTGTGATTTTCTATATAAATACGAAGTAGAAATTTTGCCGAATTTGGTGGAAGGCGCGAAATCAAATGGTAAAAGAGCATGATGCTCTTCTGTAATGTAATTCATTAAAAAGTCATTATAATTTGTTATTTTTCTATTTTAACATTAGTTGAGATCAATAATGACACGAATAAAAACTGCAGCAACAGCAAAAAGAATAATAGCCTTAAAACAAAAGAAATGAGTGGGTTAATTATAATTGAAGACAGTGACGAAGAATCTGCAAAAGAGACAAATCCAAGTCCAATTGTTATCTTAAGTCGGTGCAATTCTTTATTGCTTATTGATACATTTTTTTTGATTTCTAAATTAATTGATTCTAAATACATGTACGTAGGCGATGATGACGACATTGAATTCGATAAATTGTCCATGACTTATATTGAAGATATTGGTGAAGGAAAAGATGAAGGAAAAGGTGAAGGAAAAAGACGAAGGAAAAGAGCGAAGGGAAAAGTGAATGGAAATCTAAATAATTGATTTCTAAATACGTAGGTGGTGATGACGACGTCAAATTCGATAAATTATCCATGACTTATATTAAAGATATTGGTGAAGGAAAAAGCGAAGGAAAAGGTGAAGAAAAAGGCGAAGGGAGAGGCGAAGGGAAAGACGAAAAAAAAGGTGAAGGGAAAGGTGAAAAAAAAGGCGAAGGAAAAAGTGAAAGGAAAGGCAAAGATAAAGGTTATAAAAGTATAATATTTATATTTTCATTTTAGAGCGAGTCCATAATATTGAAATTTCATGAGTTATATTCAATATTTAATTAGTAGAAGTAGAGAACATCAACTACCCGTCGAATATGAGAAAGACAATATCCAATACTGCCAAACACTTTCCTGGTATTGAATTTCATATTTTCTAAAAGCAATTCGAGAAAAACAATTAATTTCTTTGAAAATAATAACCAAAAAAAAAGAAAAAATTCCCTCCAAACGAGTTTTTGAAAGTTTTGAGGCTTCTTCGTCTTCTGGAACAAGTAAGATGGATTCCAATTATTCTGTGTTATAATAGATTGTTCGATTGACGAATTTTCTGTTATTGTCATTATTTTAGAATTTAAAGAAGCTACTGGTAACTTGAGTCTTGGTGAAAATTATTATTCGACTTTTTTTGGCGAAGTATTTTGTCTTGTAATATATTATTGCACGAAATTAAAGGTCGAAAAGTCAAAAGAATCAAAGGAAAGAATATGTTGAAAAAACCAATAAATTTTTTCAAGCCAGGATCATTTGATAAGGCACTTTTAATTATATTCGGTGTATTCAAAATTCTTTTAACAGTTATTGACAATATTCTCCAATATGATCTAGTTATTAAACACGGGAATGATGCCAACATCAAATTTCAAGGATCGATTTCTTTCAAGTCGTGCGACCATTAATTCGTTGCACGTAGGAAAATGTCATTATCATCCAGCTGGTTGCTTCATATTCGATGAAACACATCACTTGTTGTTAACCAAGATCATGATCGATCACTGGGCGAAGCTTTGCGTACTTATTTTTAGTTTATCGTTATTGTGATTTTGTGTTATATGGTTATTCAATTCGAACTTATTGCTTACAATAATAGGCTTCGGGCGATGATTGTAATGAGGAAAAACTCCCACAAGCTGAAGAACTGCCAGAGTTTTCTACTGAATCTGCTGTCTTCGTGCCGTTTGGTTGATGATGTCTATTATATATTCTTTTATTCATGCTTCTAATTAGCTTGTAGAATAGTAAATAATACATGTATATAGTACTGCAAAACAGATTCTTGGTCCATTTTGTTTTGATTGAATCTCTTGTAAAACAGTATATAGAGATTTCTTTTCTATGATTCTTAAAACTAAAGCACGAATATTAACAATAAATATAATTAATTTAACCAAGTATCTCACAACTGCATGAAAAGAAAATCGAGATATGACATGCTAGACATGTGTTGTATTTAGAAAAAAGTCCAGAACAATTCATCCCATAACTCGTCTTCTAAGATAATAAAATCCCAATCGTAGCCTGGTTTACGATAAATCACCGGGATGGCTTTTTTCGCTTCTTCTAATGCTTCTTTAGAGGAGAGTTTAGCCTTTCCGATATCAAGCTCTTTTATTTCATGACTTTCCGCGTAGTTTATAAAGACGTCCAAACATTCGTCCGAGACATAATCCACTGATGGAATGGCAAATTGTTGAAACGTTGCCGTTGTCTTCTGAAAGAATTTGTCCAGGGATTCGCTAGAAAAATAGAGATTTATGTCGAGAACAAATTGATAATACTTTCTTGATGGCAAATAATCACCGAGTTCTTCCATGAATTTGTCGGATTTGTAAGTAATTCGGCGAAAACCACGAACGTGAAATAAGCAGAAAACCGATAATTTCGGAAACAGTTCCAGCAACGAGAACGTCTTGTAAAGTCGAGTCAAAGCAATTGGTTGCGTAAAAGTACTTGCTCCAGGAAAAATTTCAATGAAAATTTCCGATATATTGGGACATACTCGTGCAGCAACTGGTAAAAAACGATGACTATATTCCTCGGATATTGTCAGACTGAAAAGGTACGCGAGGGAGTTCCGACCGCTTGCAAGATGAAACGGATCCCAATCTCGAACGAAACTTTTACTTGAGAATTTTTTTAAAGTGTCCCATTGTCCATGGGTACGAGAAGCTGTCGCAAAATTGATATTGAGTTTACTCAGAGTGTGACCAACATTGTTGCTGATTAATTTATGGTAAATTGCATATGCCAGATTAATTCTATTGCTTCTCAATCGAGAGTGAACTGCTACTTCAATCAATGTTATGATATTCAAATATTTAATAAAGTAAATATATTGGAATGTTGGTGGTGGTTTATTCAAAAACTCTGGAGCAAGTGATTTTTTTGTTTCTTCATCAAGACAATTTACGACCGTTTGAAATAATTTAGATTCGTGTCGAGGATTGCAATCGTCAAACGGTTTAATCCAAAGTTTCGGTATGATACTTTGACACCAATGTCGATTAATTAAGAGTAGACTAAGAATTTGTGACTGGTGATGTTTGTTTTGTCGTTGTCGTTGTTGCTCATTCTTCTCTAGTAGATTCTCAATTATTGCTTCGATACATAAGAGAGGAAGGGTTGCCGCCATTTTTTACTTTTCGTAATTTTCAATTTCGGGACAAAAATATAACAATAACGATAAGCAAAAGTGAGTGGTACATGTATCGGTATCGGTATAGAGAGTACGTAATACATTTATGTAATACATGTACATCTATATATAGTAAAATAATAACAAAGGCTGATCATTATGCATTTTATCAATCATGCTCGTGATTAGATGAATTATACATGTATCGGTACATGTACATGTATATGGTTTAATGTTAACGTTAACATTACGTTTCGAAACAAGCATTGAAAAGAATGATATGCGTATAAATACGTATACATGTACGTATTATTGACATTATGTAAATTTATTTCTGGAACAGTTGTTTACCGAAGTGATTCTTTTGCTATGTTAGTAATTTTAATATCAACATCGAGAATTTTTATCGAACTTTAATTACACGTAGTTTTATGGTTAGAATGCAATCAAACACGGTATCTTTTGTTTAATTATAACAACACATGTACATGTATTTGTTTATAATTTGCTAACCATTTGTAGTTATTGAAATTTTTAGTCAGTGTTTCACGTGATTGCACATCAGAAGTTATTTTAGCCTAAATATCGATATACAGTACTTTAATTCGACTTTTGCGGGACAAATTGTCTTATTGTAGTAAAGTATATAAATTCGTACTCCAAATAAAACTTATTGAATTGCACGTTGCTAAATGTTCCTTTTTTGAATCATACACAGATCCGTTCTCTCATTTATGATTTTATTTCAAAAGGAGTTTTTTGCATGCCAAAGAAATTGCCTTATGATCAAAGAATTACTGTGAGTAATTAAGAGAATATGGAATAACAGAAACAAGTTATTTTTATTCTGTACATAGAATCCAAGGTTAAATAATATTACGCAAATGTTACTCGTTTGTGGACACAATGGAAGACATATTCGAAGACTTATCCAGAGCCAGCTGACAAAACTCAAGAATGGACTCGTCAATATAATACATTAATAGATGTTTTATTCTCAAAAAGTAAGAAGTTGGAAAAAAAGTTTGAGTAGTGTAGATTTAATAATGTGAAGGATATCAAATTAGTCAAAGACGCACATGTAGAATCATTAATCTCCAAGAGTTTTAGCGAACCAGTCGATGTGATTACCAAATACAGTACATGTAGACAATAATTAAAAGAAGGGTAAAATATTGCGTGTACATAGATCGATTCCAGTGAGACAATGACATGCATAAATTTTTTTGTGATATAAAATTATCTCCGATTACAAATGAACAGTAATGACTCTTTAACAGGCAATAATATTAACGAACATAATATTATTAATACATGTGTTTGTTTTAGTGCAAACCCAAACTTTCTAATCCAATGTGTAAATGATGCGAATTTCGCAAACATACGTGATAAGGGTTATGACATATACGTAATATAGGTTTACTATAGAGCCCACCACCTCTCTCCTCCAAGGTGAGATATTTGAAGCATGTGCCTTCCCCGGGATATTACGTAATATCTGTCACAGCCCTAAACGAAACTACGTATGTAGTTTTAGAAAATAAACCATAGAAACCACTTTTTGGTCGTTGTGTTTTAACTCGAAACATACAGTGGCTCTCATAAGAAATGGAACACGCGATCAAAATTTCTAGAATTTTATTTCCGTCAATATTGATCCAAAATAAATAAATAACAAGTATTCATCTTAAACCTCGAAACCTCTAGTACTTTTAAAAATAATTTGACTACAGATTATTTTAACCATTTTGTCAAATTGAATGATTTAAGTCAAAATTTTCAATTAGTGATTTTCGACCTACCAAACTTTTTTCTAAGACAAAAACCAAATTTGGATTACTAATTATAAACGTCTTACTACGTATACAAAATCTACCTACATGCAAATTTGCATAAAAATTGGCTCGAAATTTAAACCCCGAAGGTAGAGCTTCGGACCTTCGGGATTTTAATCTCAACAAATTTTTATGAAAAAAGATTTATCTTGGAAAAAAGAAGAAATTTAATAATTTAAAATTTTGATTTAATCACTCTTTTTCACAAAAATAATTAAAATAATCTGTTTTCAAGGTATGTTTAAAATATTAGAGATAAATTTCTAGAAAAATTTGAACGCATGTCCATTTCTTGTGAGAGGCACTGTAATTATTATTCGTTTTTAATTGTCACCTGGTTTCTAATACAAAATTTTTTTATTTCAAAATAAATAATGTATATATTTAGTGTATGTTTTATAACACTAGTATTTTTGATATCAAAAATCATTCTACAACTTTGAATTCAAATTTTCAAAAATATTGTTTAAAATTACATGTTTTTACTATTTTATCAAAAAAATTTACACAATTCACTCTCCTTATAGTGAAACAAAAAAATCTATTAGCAAAAAATCTTCAAAAATACACTATATCGAGGGTTAATGAGTAAATCTACTATTTCGAACAGAATTTATTATAGCTAATTTAAATATTAATGCACCATATCGAAATTTTAACTAAATGAAGCCCACTATAAGGAGAGTGACTGTGTATCTAATATTTTCACAACATTTTTAAAATTTATTAATACGGTCACCGAAAGTAATGACGAATGATTTTTTAAAGTCACGCAAATGCCAATAAGTAAATCGAAATCTTTTCGAAATATAAAAGCCAAAAAATAGGCCAATAACCTTTATTAATGGGGTGATACTTGATACGCCCTCCTTCCTCTCAATGCATGCTACAATTCGATTTTGCATGCTATTAATGTTACTAACTATTCCTCCCTAATTATATCCAAAAATACATCCTGAGAAATTAATTCCTTGTGCGTCACCATACTCTTAATCTTCCTCTAAATAGTCAAACCATTTTTAATAGGGTTGAGGTCCGGACTATAAGAAGACAAAAAAGAATGCGCGTGTAAAAGATGAGATGCAAAGTCATCTTGTACGTTATTGAACGTGTGCTTTGGGTCATTATTTTGTTGAATGATCCAGTGGTGGCTGTGCATCGCATCTGCGATCCGAATTTTGAGTGAACATGTACATTCTGATTTCCCCCTTGGCACCAGTGTACAAGAGTACTCTAAAATTCTGGTTAGTTTTTAAATTTTTGATCTACTGGAGAATTTCCGGTTTTCATAATATCAATAAAAAAAAGCTTGATTACAATACTTGGTTTTATAGAATTTTATTTTGAACAACTTGTTCACACTTTTTCTCAGTGTTAGCATTTCCACATTGATCTAACTCTAATGATAAGTACTTTTAATGTCATGCTTGATACTTTCAATATCTTCAGTATCTGGTTCACTCGCTATATTTTTTTATTTTTTTATTTCTATCAAATAAGACAGTAAACAAATAAAAAATTACTCGTGAAGTTTTTCTTTCATTTTCTGAATGAAGCCAAATTTAAGCAGTAATATTATTATGATAATAAAACGACAAATTGAAAAAAATTCGTTGATAATATAGATTTGGACCACCGGATCTTCAAAACCCAAACCAGTAAATTTTTATCCAACCAGCGAAGTGATCAGAAAATTCCAAGTTCTATTTTGTTCACTGCTTGGCTCTGATCACTGCCTAAATATGCACTTTAAATGGATTGGTGTAATAGCTTCATGCGACCATGCCAAAAAGGGTATTACGAACATCTGGATTGTTATTTCATAAAAACAATCCCTTTTCGCCAGTTGTATTGCGATTATCTTTCGGTTTTTGGATCAAAAGAGGAACTCTCTGAGGACGAACAGCAACAAAACTGAGGTTGTCAAGTTCGTGATTCACTCATCTCAAGTTTTGGGTCCTTTTTTCAAGCTTGGTCTTCAGCTCAACCACTTTAGTGTTTCATAGTTATTTGATTTGGCAGCGTTTTCAGGGCAGGGAACCAGTTTTCTTGAACAACAAGAATGGGAACAAACTGAAATTTTGCAATGAACTGACATATTACTCACATAACAAAAAGACAAGTTGTAACCAATTAGACCATACAAAGTGAATTTTTTGATTTTCATATCAGCAAAAATATTTTTTGATCCAGGTATCCAGATTTTTATTTTTTAAATTTAAACATTTTTTAATATGATTAAATATATAAATATTTATCATCAATATCAACTATTATATAAATATTTGTAGATCATATTGTGCTTTACAACTTTATTTATAATAGCAGTTTATATTTTCTATTAAAAAATAAAGGTTACTTAGATATAACTGAAATATTTTTGTTTTTATTAATAAATATTTATTATAATCATTATATAACTCTATGAATATTTATTATCTATATCAATTATATAAATTTATAGCTTTACTATTATTATAAAAATAATTTAGATTATTATTTCTAAATTAATATAAAGTTTTTTTTGAATATTTTTAGAAAAAATAAATTCTTCTAAATTAATTTTTTAACTATATTCTTCACTCAAATTAATCTTTTTGCTATTGATATATCTTATATTTTATCTTCAACATAAATATCCTTAATTCGAATTTCATTATATTTATCCAATTATATTTATATTAATTTATTTTTTATTTTTATTTTTATTACTATTTTTATTTCTATTTTTAATATTGTCTTAAGTATTAAAAATTTGAACTTAATTATATGTTCTCAAATGAAGATATATTTGATAATTAATGTTTTAAAAATTGAAATTTTTATTGCATTTTTCGATCATTGGTTATGTAATATACTAATTTACGATAAATTATTATGCATATACAGTGACAATCAGAAATAATACAATGATATTAAAATTTATTAATTAAACATAGTAAAATATGGATTTTTCTTTTTATATAAAAGTTTTCAATTTTATTAATAAATATTTTTTATTTTTACATTAAAATGCAGATAATATTACATATTTTAATATATATTTTTTCAGATTTTTTAAATTTAATTTGATAAAGCTGTTCTAATTGCATATAAAGTCAATTATTTTTTTATAATTAAAACATATATAAAAAATAATTAACTTCAGATTAAATCTAAAAAATTTGAAAAAATAGATATTAAAATATGTAATATTATTTCATTTAATGTAAAAATAAAAAATATTTATTAGTAAAAATGAAAACTTTTATATAAAGAGAAAAATCCATATTTTACTATGTTTAATTAATAAATTTTGATGTTATTACATTATTTCTGATTGCCATCATATATTATTCTGTATTGAGTAATGTTTTACTTTGTTTTTATTTTCTCTTTTATTCTTTTATTTGTATATAAAAACTCTTTAATTACTCTTCTTCTATCTATAATGTTCTTACCGTGAAAAGAATTATCAATCAGAATTTTGTGAACAAATAATTGGTGCATATTATTTGGAGAGCAATGCTTCAGCTATTGCCTCTACTCTCGCTATTCCAAAAAAAACAGTATATGATACAATTAATCAATTTAAGAAAACGGGAACTCCACATTTTGTAAAATATACTGAATAACCAAAAAATTTATTAGAACGTGATCAATGAAATTTAAAACATATTATAAAAAAATCGCAAAACATCACTCATTAAAATTAACAATTAACTAAATGCATACATTAATAACTCAATTCACTTTAATATCACTCGTAATTATATGAAATTATTAAAGTTATAAATATTTTTTAACTACTCAGTATTTACAATAGTGCAAAGAAAAGAAAAACTGGAATGATGAATGGCACCAAATTGTATGGTCAGATGAAAATTATACACATTATATTATGTGCACTGAATTTTTTATTGAGAGAAACACAAAGTCTGAGTAGTGTGTTCTCACTGAGAATATTGGACGCCATCAGAATGTTCTCAAATAAGAGAACATTTTATGATTATCAATGTTCTCAAAAATACTTTTGTGTTCTCTGAGAACACAGAGAACATCAAATTTTCAATAATGATTGTCTTCTCTTGTGATTTATCTCATGTTATTCAATCTTTCTTTAGGGTCTTTCTTTTTACTGTGACCTTATGATTTTTCTTATCTTTAACCACTAATATTCATATTAATTTTCTCTTGCATTTTTTTCTATCATGTATAATTTTTCATTTATTATTCAATATTTGTTTTTCTTTTTATATTGTTTGATATTATTGTAAATAGTAATATAATTTAGAATAATTATTAAGCATATAAACTTTAGAAACTATTGAAAATATACAAAGAAGAGACTCTCATCATTAGAAACCCTCATGCTCTGATCTAATAAAAATAACAAAGTTCTTACTTGTAGTCAATATTTGAAATAATCACAAAAATAATAGCATATTAATATTACAAGTAGTGGATGCTCCTCCACTCTAAACAAACTGTTGAACAACAGAAAATACATGTAATGAAACGGAATCTCAATCTGATGACTACGTATCTTTACCACGTGGTATCTCTACGAATTCAACTAATCAAAGTACAACTTCAACTATTCCAATGAAAAGGGAAAAAAAATCAGCATGAAATGAAAAACTAACCAAAGGCCAGTTATGTCATCGCCGTCGTCGTTATCGTCATCATCGTCGTAATTCGTGCTCGAGAATCGATTTTGAGTTGTGTACCGATTCCTCAAATTAAAATCGTTTGATCGAATTTATTAAAACGATTAATCGAAGCATTTCTTCGGGTCAGGAAGACTTGACCAGCGACCTTGTTATTCTCAATTTTCTTGATATCGTCGTCGTCAAGATCCAACTCGTCTTTTTTAGACCGACCGCAGATAAATCAAGTCATCAGATCGCTTCCATTTCGCACTCAGGAAATCTGTGCCAGGTTTTGTTGATCTCGGAAAATTCTACTGTAATATTATTTAACATTAAAAGGTTGGTTTTAGAATTAGGGTTAGGGTTAAAGCTGAGATATAGGTTATATATAAAATTGTCTCCTCAACGTTTTTAATTAGTACTCCGAGCTATATTTAGGCTCCAGTTTCTCGTGTTTTTCGCAGTTCTTGTATTTTTTCTTTTCTTGTGCCGGATTTGTTTTGCCGGTCTGATAAAAAATTTCTGTATTCTTATTGGATGCTGATCAAAAAATTACACGTATCCCCAATGATATCCGCCAGCACGAGCTTGATTTACAAACCCTCCCGCTTTGAATCTCAGTGACACGCTGTGCTTCAACTAAGAATGGAAATTCATCGTCAAAAATCTGCTTGACAGCATCCAACCATCCCAAAGCCTGAGACGCACTGCATGTTGTACGTTGCCTTTCGGTGTACACCATTCGAGATTAGATACTTTGTTGTTGGTAGAATCACCATCAATATGGTTCACAAATTCTTTGTTTTCTTCTTTGGGTAAAATGCTAATGCTACTAAGCGCCAATTCGGTAATATCCTGTGTATAATGATCATTGGGTGATCAATCCATTGGTTAACTGAACCTTCCCTTAAGGATGAAACTCTGAATTTTTGTGAATTTCTCTCCATTCTTCATGTTGTACATCGTCTTCATAATACATCCAACACCAACCGCCAACAGTATTCGTTTTATATTACAACCTGCCGAAATACTGAATCTTATAATCTCAAGTGCATCACTTGCGAGTCTCAAATTTGAACAACATTCCTGTTCAATGTTTTCTGCACGATTCGCCTAGAACTACCACGGCCAGTATTCGGGAATACTTTACATACATTTAGCGTTCTTTAGGAATTACCCATTCCAAATTCACAACCCGCGATTATTATGTTTGACGTCGTTAATGTGATTAACATAAGGCTTATTTTCTGGATTAGGGTGAAGGCACGCGCGACTAAAATTGGACTGAACTGGTTGATGTTCGAATACTATTAATGTTTAAATCCATCCGTACATAACCACTTTTGCAAATTATCTGGTCTTAAAATCATACCTTTATTGTTTTTGATGTGTCCGAAATTGGATACTAGTAGTGCGACATTGCTATGGGCAACCAAACTTCCATTATGACATCTGTTATTTAAAGTGAACCCGTTTTTTTAAATTTAGCGAGATTAGTATGCCAAATGGTTCAAAAGCTAGATATTTGCACTGTGTCAGTAACTTGCCATAAGAATGTATTGTTATCGTTATTTATAAATAATAAAAACAGGGAACGATTGAAAAATAAAAAATTATCTTTATCGAGTCGATATAATACATGTTCATATAACGATAATACGAACATGTTTGATCAACACTGTACAACATACGTATTGTACAACATACGTATGGCCCAGGAACTCTTAAATCGACAATATATTTCATGCTAAAAATTCTATCAGCTTTAACTAAGTAATCCAAAATTTGACCGGTAATATTGTCAAGCAAGTCCTTTTCTGTAATATTACCGGTTAAATTTTGGATTTACTTCTTAAGTAAAGTATTTGATAGAATTTTAACATGAAATACATGTATATTGTCGATTTAAGAGTTCCTGGACCATATCATGATATTTTTTGTCTCATTCTAGGTAAGCGTTTCCCGGTTGACATCAATACTGGCAAAGTCACCGTTATGTTGTGAAACATGAAATTAGTTTCGACAAATTCACCGTTGGCATCTCAAGAAACTACATTTAAGATAAACAGAAAACCTTTAGCAATGTTGGATCCCACGAACTGAGATTATGGAAGGTCGAAATTCCTACCAACAAAGAAAACAAGAAGCTGGAAATGCTTAACAATAAGTCTCATACTAAAATTGAAATTAAACAACAAATCGGAGGTGAGGGGTTGATCCAGATGATGAGAGGTTTCTAAAATATTTCCAGCTGAACCTCCAGAGGAACACATCACATCTTTGTTCAGTTACCTGGTAAGGTACTATTGTTAGTCAGCCTATTCAGTTGAACATCAGTTCGAAAATTTCGGAGACATTTGGTATACTTTTTGCCATGCTAATTAACTTGTATTTTTTTCTTTGGTCCTGTCATCAATTTCCTATTCGGTGACCTTTCAATCCGAACCTACACTGGTTATTTTGTTCCTCTCATTCCTGACTTACAGAAATAGAGCCTCCTTCGAAGAGGACCCGCACAGAGAAAGATGGTAAGTTTTCGTATTGTTCTCCATTACTCAGCAGGCTTCGATGCTTATTCTTGCAATGTCATTCTAATCTGATCGATTCGTTCTTCTAGTGCCATTGTGGCAATCTTCGCCAAAGAAGCAAAAGCTCATTGGGAGTATGTGCACTGTTTCCTTCATTTATTTACTCTATTCTTTCCAAGGAACTTTCAAGCAGAAACTGATCCTTTTTTCGATATTATTATAGAGTGAACCGCTACTCTTTTTGCAGGCAAAAGCATTCTTATTGGCTTGGATAACTTTACTGAAATTTTGAATCGAGGTTTAACTATACTCGACAAATCGCTCCTCATCGCCGACTTTCTTGAATGCAATGCACTTGTCTCCTCCATTGTCCGAAACGGTTCTTCAAAACAACAAAGCTCATCATTAAGAATTTCTTTACCGTTCCTATCCATCCCGCCAATGTGGACTACTGCCGTGAATTATTTAAAGACGCCAAGATTATGGAGGAGAGATCGGACCAACTCAATAATCACTTTGCAAGTATCCGGTCATCTATTTCTCAAGGTATGGTGGTGTTTGCGTTTAAACTGTCACAGTCTGTGAACTGTTCTGCTGGTCTGTTTCTTACATTCCTTTGTTAGAGCTACAATGGCTGTGATATTTGGTCGAAGATGCAGATCAAACTATTTGGGATGTTGACAGCATTGTACAGCTATGTTTACGATAAACTTAACCCATACGAGACGACACGTTCTGAAGATAAGAAGTGTAAACGCATGGACGATGCTCTTGTGACCTCCCCAAGTACTTGAAAAACTATCACGGAAGCAAGTGTATCGTATTGATTGATGAATACGATCATCCGCTTGGTATTACAAAGAAGCTCGTGACTTCTTTGCTTCTATGTTTGGAGCGCTTCTCAAGGGAAGCTGTTTCTGTAGGATCAATATAAGTGATGACCCTGACAAATGTATTGATCTTTAATTGTGCAAGTGTTCCCAATTCATGAAAAAACGTATGCAGACAAATTCTGATTCACTGAGGATGAGGTTTCTATCATCTTTCAACATCACAATCTGGCGAACCAGCTGGAGGAAGCCAAACAATGGTATGATGGCTACAAGGCTGGAAATGGTATTCATCTGTACAATCCTTGGTCGATCAATTCTTTTATTTCTGAGAGGAATTTTGAGGCATATTGGATTTGATACAGGTAAGCAATGCATTGTTTGACTTCTAGTAGAAATTAAACTCGCACAATCTATTAAATATCGTATGTTTTAAAAAAATCAGAGTTTGCATCATGGCGGGATAAATTTTTCTCACCATGTGATTTTCGTCGGAATACTAACACTTAAGCTATTAATACCGGCACCAGTAGTATTTACATGTGGTTACTATATTTGGTTAATTTGGTTAATCCGGGATATGTTTACTAATAAAAATGTATATGTATATTATCAAATCTCTGCTTGAGATGGACCAAGGCCTTTTTGGCGATCTTAGATCACTCCAAGACCTTTCCACAATCACTTTGTGTTTTAGTAATGCAATAAGATATTTAATTAATATTGTTATCAGACTTAATATAATTCATTTGTGCATCATGACTTTCATCCTGAAAAAATATATTATTTAATCATTATCCTCAAATTACTGAGTTTGGACTTACTATAACGACATGGGTGTTGTGTTGAAGGATAGCGAGGATGTTGAGAAGTCCCTGGTTACGAAAAAAGTGAGAACTGTGAAATGAACTAAGTTTCTCCCATGCAATCTTGTGTTCGTTTTTTATTAGCTAGTTTTAGCTTTCGTGTTTCCAATTATAAAGTTTTCATCTGTTAACCCACTTCTCATTTTCACTGTGTGGATATAATGTAGGGTATATGCGTGTCTCAAAAATAAAAGCTGAATAATGTTCAGAAGAATATCCAACTTTTTTCTCACACACTGTTCGAAAAAAGATGGTATATTAGGCATTCTGTTTTTTTCTAGCTTTGAAGGTCTAATACAGAAAACTTTCAGAATAAGGATTATTTAAGCGTAAAAAAATTGGAACCTGTTTAGGTATAGCAAAAATATTTTCTCGCTAGGGAACTGGGAAAATAGTCGCATCGAAAAAAAATACAAGCTAGTATATCAAACATGTCAATGCTGTTTGTTTGCTTAATACCATATACATGTATTTATATTTATCATTCTTATTACATACATGTTCTATGGGTTGATTATCATTTATCATGAGTATATTTTTCAACCAATCATTTTTCCTGTTTTTATCCCACAATTCATGGATCAACAATTTTGTATTGCTTTTTTTTCCTATATAATTCAAAAATTGATTATGCTACTTGGGTAACAGTACTGTAGTGGGTGTGCAATGCTGTTACATAGATAGGAGCGTGTTCAGCGATCAGCATGTAGGTTATGCGGGTGCAACTAGAGATGTAGTGTTTCACATAGTGATCAGGACGGAGGTTGTGAAATGCCGTCTAATTGATAATCGTGTTGTTTCCGCAACTGTGTAGCACCGTTGTTTGCACCGTTCATTAACCTTCTATGTCCGTCTCTGTTACTTCTACTACATGTACTGTTACCCCCCATTTTTTGTTGTCCGTTCATCTAATCTAATATACAAAGAATCTTTATAATTTAATTTTTTTCAAACGAAGTAAAATGAGCAACTTTTAAATGGTTTATTCATACTTGTATTGTTAATTAAATTGGTAACATTTGCAGGTTATAAAAGTTTGAACATGCATTAAATGAACATATGATACAGTTGCTATTCAATTTCAATTTATGTATTGCATTAATGTTTCCTCCATCTACTGCCTTAGAATACCAATATATTGTCTTTCGATGTCTCCCATTAAAATATTTTTGTACGCTAATGCATTCTTCATAACATTTACCAATATATTGTCTTTCAATGTGTCCACTTAAAATATTTTTTGTCATCTTTTTGTATACTAATGCCTTATTCATAACATTTACCAAGATGACGTTTCCACTCTCTGTTGATTTCGAATACCACTCAAAGCATCCCATCCCTCTGCAGATTTCAGATACCACTTAAAAGCTTTTTGTCATCTTTTTGTACGCTAATGTCATTTTCATAATATCTACCAAGTTTATATTGTCCGTATTTATCTCCACCCTCTGCATGTTCAGTTTCTCTTAAATTATTCATTTTCATTTTGTGTTCTAATTTCTTTTTGTAAGTAACGCGTTTGAGATTTAGTAAATTTATAAGAAATTGTTTCCTTGTGATCTTCAGATATAGAAATTATTTTACTTTTTTTACTTAGAAAAAAGAAGTATACATGTAAATAATATTTAATAAAGATTCTCTGTTTTGCTGACAACTTGCACTTGAGACAGTATTATATTCGGATATAAACATTATATTAACACAAGACATGTCTTCTCCATGTATTATATGTTTAAGGTTCCATAACTTTTTAATGATGTACATGTATATTATGCTTAGATTTTGATTAATATCCTAGCCACGGCGAAAAAATGTATCGGTCACATGATAACAACCAGGGCCATTAAAATATCCGATTTATATTAAAGGTCAAGTATTAGGATTTGGGTTAGGGTTCGAGCAAAGATCAAATATCAAATGTCCTTCCTGACATTTTAATATCGCTCCAAGATAAATTTAGATATCTGTTTTATCTATGTTTTTGCATTTTTCATTTTTTAGTATCAGAATTTGTTTTGCCGGGATTGATCAAAAATTTATTGGTTGTATATATTTTTTTGTACAAAGAATTAGTTTTTTAAATTTCTTTTACTATTTTTTTTATTATTTTTTTAAATTTTCTTTCTTCTTTGATCTTTACTTTTTTATAACTCTTATATATTATTATTCTTTTAATAAACACAATTTCTGTAGAAATTGGCATAGATTTTAGATACTGCTTCATTTTTTTTAATATTTTTATCAATTTATTACTCTCTTTTAATTTAGATTCAAGTTTGCAAACTTGTAATAGTACTTACTTTAATTTTTAAATTAGATTTCTATTAGTTTGGCTTGAGTTATGCTTTAATAAATTGTTATTCTTATTATTGCTTTTTTTATTCAATATTTTAACTTTTTTTATTCATTATTTCAATTTTTTTATTTATTATTCTGATTCTTTTTTATTTAATATTTTAACTCTTTTTATTTATTATTCTAACTTTTTTTTATTAAATATTTCAATTTTATTCTCATTTCTTTTTTTATTCAATGTTATGACTCTTTTTTATTTAATAATTTAACTTTTTTTTATTTTAATATTTCAATCTTATTCTTATTTCTTTTTTATTTAATATTTTGACTTTTTTAATTCAATATTTCAATATTTCTCTACTATAATTTTAATATTTCTCTATCATTAATTTCAATATTTCTTTATTATCAATTCTGATATTTTTTTATTATGAATTCTAATATTTTTTCATATTAATCCAATATTTTTCTATTATAATTCTGATATTTTTTTATTATAATTCTGATTATAATTCTAATATTCCTTCTCTACTATTTTAATATTTCTTCTCTATTATTAATTTTGATATTTCTTCTCTATTATTAATTTTAATTAATATAAAAATATTTATATATATAATATTTAGATATAAATATATAAAATATTTAGATATATAAATATATAAATATAGAATAATATATATAATTATAATAATAAATATAATTTTTATATACTTGTATTCTAATTATATTTTAAAATATAAAAAAAGATCCATCTAATTTTCACTTGCATTTAATTATATTTCAGAAAAATAAAAAAAACTATTTAACTTTCATTTATATTTTGACTATATTTCAAAAAACAAAAAAAAGATCTATTTAACTTTTACTTTATTCAGAAAAAATTTGTTCAAATTCTACTTATATTCTTATAAATCAGAATATAAGTAAAATTTAAATGAATCTTTTTTATAAAATATCAAACTATATTTCAGAAAGTATTGAATATTTTTCCAGAAATTTATTAACAAAATTATTAAATTTCTGGATTTGAGTTAAATATTAAAAACAGATAAAACTCCAGAAATTTTCAAACTCAAAAATTAGAAATTTTTCAGTTCAAAAATGATCTTTTTTTATAGAGCCACCCCTTGTTTGTATTATATTATTGATCCTTTCTGGTATCAAATTGATCAAACTTTCACAAAAATTAATTTTGATACTTATCATAGCTTTTTTACAAATTAGTTTTATTTAAAAGTGAACTAAAAAAATTTTATAAATATATATCAACTTCATTCCACAAATTTTTGATTGAATTCCAGTCAGAGAATTGAACAAACCAATCAAGCAGAGTGATATTGTTATTCCTGAACCATTGTTTGGCTTTTCTGAAAATATATTTTGGATTGTTAGCTTGCTAAAATATAATTTCACTATCTTCTAGCATTTTCTCATAAATTGTATCTAAAAAATTGGTATTTAATATGTAGACCTCAGCATTCATTTTGTCATTGATTTTTTAGAGTTTATCAACTCTATTGGTAATTAGATAACTCCAAACCATAATGGAACCACTACCAAATTTTTATGATTTGGATAAATAATAATTTTTAAATTATTCATCAAGTTTCTTCCAGCATCAGTTGAATTCATCCAATTCAAATAGTTGGAACTTGCTTTCGTCAGATCAAATTATTTTCCGCCAATCATCAGTCATCCAATTTCAGCATTTTTTTGCTCATTCTAATCAGGATTGTTTGTGTATTTTTTTTAAGTAATAGCTTTTTTTGCTTAATCCTTGTGAATAAACTATTTCTTTTA